GCACTTTCTATTGCTGAAGCTGAGTACATTGCCTTAAGAAGTTATATGGCCTAAGTCCTTTGGTTGAGGCAAAAAATTCTAGATTTAGGATTACCTATAAGCACAATTTTAATCCTTTGTGACAACACTAATGCGCTTTGCATCTCTAAGAATCCTATCCAACATTCAAGGACCAAATACATTGATATAAGACATCACTTTATTAGAGATCATGTAACCAAAGGAGACATTGAGTTACACCATGTGATAACTGAGAATCAACTGGCTGATATCTTTACTAAACCATTGGCTTTTGTCACTTTCAACAACTTAAGGATTAAATTGGGTGTGATTGACATAAATGCACGAACTTGATGTTTACTGAATTTTGAATTTTCTATTTTGTTTCTTGTCATTACTTTTCTACTCTTTTGTTTGTTTTAGATTTATTTATTTCACTTTTTACTTGTGATTATTTTTTATATTTTATTTCTATTATTTAGTTTTTCTTCTTTTTCTTTATGATCACTATTGAAATGATATTTTATGTCTTATTTTAAATATTAAAAGTTTGTATTCAATGTTTTACATTTCTAAATCAGTTAAAAGGAGAAACATTGTTAATTATTTTCCTTTTTCTAACTCCTTTAGCGGTATAATTTTTTTTTTTAAATAAAAATCTATCTCAAATTAATAACTAGACTTTGCGATTGAGATCTTTTCTATCTTGCTACATTAATCTATCTTATATTTATTATATTCAAAGTCTTTATATTAATTTCAATTTTTTTGTAATCTTGTCATTATATTTATCATATGAACTTTATTATATTTTGTGGTTTATTTTTTCTTATATTAGAGAGTGAGCTTTTCTTCTGTATTATATGAAAGATATACTCACAATTGAGAGTTTTTAAGAGTCTTGAAAAGGAATCTAGCTTGCAAAAAATAACAAGGGCATAAAATGAGCCAAAAAAAAACTGAAAAGAAGCGTAATGATTGCAAAAAAATTGAAAGATACACAAAGTGTATCAAAAATCAAAACATGCACAAAGTATGCCAATCAATTAACAAGAGACATAAAATGAGCCCACAAAAGGCAAGCTTCCTTCTCTTTCAAACCTTCAATTCTTAGAAGAATTCATGTGTCAATTGATATTTTCAAAGGCTTGATTTTGAATTTCGCAATTATGGCAAATTACTTTGGTATATTAATCTTTAAGATATTTTTCTGAAACCAAATTTTGAACAGATCTATTTTTCTTATCAAATTAGTTTTTCTGAGTTAGGTCTTTTGTTTTCAAAAGATGATTTTTCCTTGAGAGAAGTTCGAGTAAGGACTAACATGATCAGCTATTCTACTGTTTTTCGGATTTCAATGATGTTAACTCATTGTTCTTACAATTTTTTAATTCAATCACATAGAGATTTTATCAAATTCATGCTTTGATTAAAAAAAACTTTGCTTTTGTTCTTCTTTTTTTTTTTCTTTCTTCTTGTGTTTTGCTTTCTGGTTTCTTCCTTTTAGTGATGTCAAAAGGGGGAGTACTATTTGAGTTGTCTTTGTCATTTTGTTTTACTTTTGTTCGTGTTTTATTTAGTTTTGATTATTTTCCATCATAAAAAAAGGAAGATTATTACGAATCTGATTCCAGGAATTATAATTTTGATGATAACAAACATTTCTGTTACTTCTATTTTTCTACGACTTCCTTACCTACTAACATTTCAGGTCCACAAGATCAAATTGCAAATCAAACCAGCTCAAGATTGGGTTGATTATGATTGAGTCAGCTTGAATTGTACGTCAAGTGTACTTTATATTTTCTTGAGTCTATTATAACAATATGGGTCCTGATGCTTAGTGACCTTGCACACACACACTTGGGGGAAAATTTTGACTATTTTAGAGTTTTTTTTTATTACATCGTCTGGGATGATCCAAAAATTGTCCTGAATGATAAGTTAAAAATAAAAACCATAATTAGGGCATTCTGGTTAAGGCAGCCACAATTAAGCGAATCGTCTTGGATGATATTTTCATTGTATGGGATGATAGGATCAATTCAGAAATAATCAGCAGCTACAACCTTTTAAGCATGTTTTATTTTTGGACATCGTCCTGGATGATGCATTATAATTATGCCTAAATTAGTTTGGTAATTAAAGAAAATAATTAAAGTTTGATTGCTCAATCATATCATCCTAGATGATCACAGGATCGTCCATGATGATCAGTTAAACAAACCTTAGTTCTTCCTGGATGAACTATAATCGACCTACCTCTATGTAGGACGATGTTCTGGACGATATGTGATATTTCGTACTAATCATCCCATATGATATAGTTATATTTTTATCGTCCAGACATCCATACAGGGAGATGGTCTGGACGATATATGATGATTTGTACTAATTGGCCTAGACGATCAAGTTACTTTTTCATTGTCCAGACATCCATCTAGGGCGATGGTCTGGACGATATACGATGAATTGAACTAATCATACAAGACAATGTATGATATGAATAAATAATCCTTTTAATCATTCAGACTCTCCTAAATCGTCCTGACTGATTAAGTTAAATTTGAACTGATCATCCGGGATGATCGGTCGATCGTCTTGGAAGATATTTGACGATTAGTTACAAAATAGGGCAATTTTGATGCTCTTGTTTAAAAAGATATCTTGTTTTCTCAAAAAAAAATCATTTGTTGCTTTCTTGACTTGAGAGAGCCAAGAGGAGAGGGAGAGCAAGGGAGAGAGAGAGAGGATATTATGAGTGGGAGTTTGTGAGGGGATTCACAAAGGTTGCTCCAAGCAAGGATCCGAGTCGTCTTCTCTGCTCGTCGTCCCTAATTCTTTGGAGGTTCGAGAGAGGTCTACTTCAGCAACTGAATGAGATTCTCTACCTATTTCTGAAGGAAGCAAAAAGAGTTGGGTTTTCTGCTTGCTTCAGGAGAAAGCAAAAGGAGTTGGGTTCTCTGCTTGCTTCAGGATGAAGTAAAAGGAGTTGGGTTCTCTGCCTGCTTTAGAAGGAAGCAAAAAGAGTTGGGTTCTCTGCCTCACTGGGTTGGTGGAAAATAGTTTTTGTATGGGCTTCTCTGCCTTGCTATGTGGGCAAAAGGAGAGACACTGAGTTTAGTGCAATACCCAGAGGAGAGGCTCCGGGGAGTACCACTATAAAATCTGGTGTTCTTTAATTTATGTGGTGATTGTTTGGTTGTGTTTGTGATTTTGTTTGGAGAAAATTTTAAATACCAATTCACCTCCCCTCTTGGTTAGCCTTGGTACTAGTTCATAAGGGCTTAACATCCCTATCAAACTTTTAAGTACACACTGAAAAAAACAAACAAAAATATCTAAGATATACTAGGAGAAACGATAAAATTATCAGCATAATAATTTGTTTTATTATCATCAAAATCACAAGCTTAATCTTGATTCCTAGGTTGCAATATATTGGGGGTCCTTAAAAGGAGAGTTAAGCTTAAGAATGGCACCAAAGATATTAGAAGAAGAATAGGCTGTCACTTCAGGACAACAAAAGTTTGGAGGGGTTGTAGCTACCAAATTAACTAGGTCAAAAGTGGGACAGATAGGAGTAGGTTCATGCAGAGGATCAACACTTAGTTCCAAAGGGACATTATACAGAGCAAAAATAGGCTGATTGAGATGGGAAGCCTACCGAGCAACTGGGTTTACCAAAACAATTGAAGGGACTAAAACACCAACATTCAAAGGTTGAGGTCTAAACCTCGAACCTGAGGCTTCTACCATAATTAGGCATAACTTTACCTAAGTCAGTATTAGGATTATAGTGACTAAAGTTATAAGCACAGGATTAACATAGTGTTGGCTTATAGTCATACTGGATCATAACAGAGTGGGGTTCACTAGCTACCGAGATAAGTATCTCATCCAACAGCCAACACTTACCTCAACCTGGACACATTTTCTTGCAAATGTAACATAGGACTTCTTGGCCGTATGATGTTCAACCACAAAGGGGATACCAATAACATTAACAATCTTAAAAATACCTTGAGGATCCCAACATGATAGAGGGAGATTATGGATCTTAACCCACAAAGGAATGGAAGTGAACTCTTCATGTTTAGGAGAAAAAAAAGAGATAACCATTGATGCAAAATAAAATATTATCTATGAAGAAACTACATGCCTCTAGACCATACCATCTCCTATTCCTTAGGCGAGGAAAAATGCTGCGGAAAAAATCATCATAAATAGAGACTAGGGAAAAGTTACCTTTGAGCGTCCAAGCTTTTTTTAATTGTGGAAAAGATGGCCACATAATAAGGCCTCCTTCCAATAGAATAACCCACCAGTGAGAAGCTCCATTGCATTGCTCCCTCAAGGATATGTTTCGGCGATTACTTGACAACGAGATCAAAAGAGGGAACAAAGTTAAGAGGGAAATCTACCTTAGAAACATTACTTGAAGAAATGAGAGTTCCAATTTTGAGCAGGAGGCGCAACATCAGATCTAGGGTTAGAAGATTTGGGTGAGTAAGTGCCCGAGGGAAGCTTAGGAAACCCCTAATTGGAGAGAGGATCCCGACTCCATAATAGAGAGTCTAGGGATCAGGTGTTCTCTGGAAGAGTCAGAGGAGGACGAAGAAAGAGAGAGGAGGAGCAGGGTGGCAGCTAGGGTTTTTATAGTTCCCAAGGCAAAAACCTTTAGTCAAACGTCCACTCTTTTTGGTGTTTCTCACCAAACTTCTCTTCAATGATCGAACTCCAAACTCGTGCTGATCCATTAACTCTACAGTTAGCCTTACTCCATCTTTTCTCCTGTTCTAGCCAGTGCAAAAAGAAGGCATATTTACTCCTTAATTATTAATATGATTAAGGGCAAAACCGTCATTTTCTTAAACTAGTTGCGCACTTAACTTTGTTGGGCAGCCGGTCCATTTAGCGAGTAAACACAGAGTGCAGACTCTCAGAATGTTCCCCGACATCATGAGATCTGTGGTCTGTCCAATGCAATTCGCCGAAAGCGATCCATAAAATCCTCTAATTCTCGCGAAGACTCGCTGAGGTAAGCTGTTTTGATCTGGTTTGCAGCTCATTATTTTCCTTTTATTCTTCTTGATGCGATATGATTTCCTTCGTTATTTGATAATTAGGGCTACTGGACTTTCAAACTGTAGTGACTTTCGATAGCTTGTTTACTTTCCGTTTTCCTTATGGAATCATGCCTTGGCGATGAATCGATTTTGGCCTCTGGTTGTGTCGGAAGAACCGTCTTTTGATGGTGATCGATTGAAGTTGTTTAAGGGTATTGTACGTAAATTTCTCTTTTTTCTTGGTCTGATATTTGGTGAGATGATTTATAAATATTGCTGGACTTTTGGATTGAATTGAGCAATTGAATTTTTAAGGTGTAGATGACTATGAGAATGATAACTAGCTAATGAGTTGAATTCAAATATGCAGTGGATGATGCCCAACTTTATTAGCAAACCGACTAGATGAACAAATGAGTAGAACTTGTGTGAGAATGAAGAGTAGATAGTAGAATTGAAGAGAGACCGAGAGAATCTAGGAAAATGCTTAGAAAGAACTACAACTCTAAAACAGGTAGAGTTTTACTATATCAGTCAAAAAGTACAAGAGTCAAAGGTTCAAGATCCCCCAAACTATTCATTATTACCTCTATTTCTTGGATTTCATGCGCTACAAGAATGGCTATATAGTAAAAAAAATACAACGTTACATAGATCGCATAGTAATGCATCTAGACGATTGCGAGAAGATATGCTTCCTTCATCACAGCAGAATGCTTGTACTGCTACAAGGTCATACCCTTTAGACTAAAAAAAATTGCAATTGCAACTTAACACGGGATGATGGAGAAGGTTTTTAAAGACTAGAAGAAGAAGAATATCAAAGTCTATGTGGATGATCTCTTAGTGAAAAAGCAAGTTGCCATGCTATCATATCGATAACTTGAAGGAGACCTTTGCCAACCTGAAGAGGTACAACGTGCGATTGTAACCCCTAAAGTGTACATTTCATTCATGTTTAAGAATATTTCTAGGTTTTCTTCTCACACTCGAATGCATCAAAGTCATCTCTGACAAAGTGAGGGCCATCATCAAAATGAAGTCACCCAAGACGGCTAAGGAAGTACAACAATTAACTAGATGGGTTGTCGGGCATAATTATTTTATTTGCAGACCTGACAAAAGATGCTAAACATTTTTTAGAGTCCTCAGGAATGCAAAAGATTTTCTTGGAGTGAGAATTGTGAAACTCGTTCCAACAATTAAAGCTTCTCCTTACCTCGCCGCCCATTCTCTAGAGCCCACAACCAGGAGGGACCTTACTGATGTATTTAGGAGACAACGAGGATGCAATCAGCTCTGTGCTAATCTAGGAAGAAGGAAGAAAACAATGACCAAATTATTACGTAAGTAAAACACTTAGTTGTGTCGAACTATGGTACTCCATCATGGAAAAACTTGCATGGTCTTTAATGTACTCTACAAGGAAGTTGCAGCCCTACTTCTAGGCCCATCCTTATTCAAGTGGTGATCAACCACTCGGCTAAAGCTGTGCTCATGAAACCGGACCACTCTGGAAAACTGCTCAAATGGTTAGTGGAACTCAGTGAATTACAGATATTTTACTCGCCAAGGAAGCTGTTAAAGCTCAGGCACTCGTTGGTTTCCTGGTTGATTCAATTGTCCTAATATAGAATCTGAAGGGGAGGTCCCGCGCCATCGTCGGACTCTTTACAATGACGGCACCTTAGGCAAGCAAGGAGTTGTCATGAGCATGATACTGGAAAGTTCAATGGGAATTATTATTTCTCAAGTTGTGAGCATAGAATTTACGCTCATTGAGAACCAAGACGAATATGAAGCCTTTCTTGCTAGCCTACACCATACCTCTAGGTTGGGGTTAACCCAATTGGTTGCTTACTCTAGCTCGCAACTGTTGGTCAGCCAGATTAATGACGAATAGTAGGTAAGGGACAAACTATTATAAAGTTACCTGTTTAAGATAAAAGCAAAAATTGACAAGTTCGAACACTTCAAGATGTCTTAGATCCAAAGATATTAGAATCGACTTATTGATCTCCTTTCTAATGTGGGTACCAACATTCATAGTCATGAAGCCTGTCACACCCCATTTTAGACCCTTCAGTCAACCTTGATTGTAACAGCTAGGGAGAAGTCAAATATATATATCTCTTACTAACACCCATCCTGAATTACTTCTGTTAGAATTAGGTGAGTAGGAAATGACCTATTGAGACTATCTTAACACAATGCATTTTTTTAGTTTTAACAATTTATGTACACTTTTCATATTTGGAAGCATATTCATATCTCATCAAATAGAATATAGATCTTACTAAACTTATCAAATAAAAATTACATACCTAAAAGTCTTACTTTACAGCTTCCTACTCTGGCTTCTATGCAAATCTAAAAAAATGCATGTACACAAATGTTTTAACCCTCCTGCCAAGAGCCTTACAGACTTCATCCCATTTCCTGCAGTACAACTGTTAATGAGCTAAAGTTTAACTAAATATGCAACTATAGTATAAGAAATAAGAAACATAAAATTTACAGTCAAATCTAAATAATATTGGGATTTTTATAAGAATCACAAGATGTATAATAAATCAATGCATATTTAACTTTTCACGTTTCATATTCTATTTACTTTTAAAAACATTTTGGCAATTTATATGATGACTATAGACATTTGCATACTTACAACTTTCTCATTTAAGATTGGGTCCAAATTCATAACTTTTATAAGTGAGTGCAGCTCTCTCATTCAAAGTTGGATTTGAATTTCCAATTTTTAGAAGTGGGAGAGTCAGGTATCTCCTATACGGTCCCTAAGACATCCTTGTTAGGTCTTTCGCCTTTACTTGTGCGGGTTTATCCCCCATAATATGATTTTTAACATTTACCTTTCATTAGATTTCACATTTTCATAACATATCATTGTATATCTAGTAATTTAGCTAAAAAAGTGTTGAACTCAATAGAACTAGTAAAAAATTAACATGTTGGATAAGAAACTAATTGCTACCACAATTATATAAAAATGCCGCCTTTACTTATGCGGGCTTATCCCCCATAATATGATTTTTAACATTTACCTTTCATTAGATTTCACATTTTCATAACATATCATTGTATATCTAGTGATTTAGCTAAATAAGTGTTGAACTCAATAGAACTAGTAAAAAATTAACATGTTGGATAAGAAACTAATTGCTACCACAATTATATAAAAATGCTCTAATTTTCTTTACATATAATGAAAGTTTTTTCTTCTTTATATCTATTTACTTCTCTCATTCGCTAGTTCTCTCTCATAATATTCTTTAACCTCTA